TTTTTTTTTTTTTTAATCTAACTAGTCTCCTAAGTCTTTCCTTTGAGGCTTTTTCTGGGTGAACTAAAAATTCCAATCTTTGCATTAGCTGTCAAGTTTGCTAACTATTTTTATGTTGTGTACTGAGTTGGAATCAACTAATAGCTGACCCTCCAGTGGGTTTTCAGAGGCAGTAAATCACACAGGTAGAGATTGCCCATCTTTCTTCTGCAGAGCAGCTGGTGAATTCGAACTGGGTACCTTTGGGTTGACAGCACAATTCCTTATCACTGGGCTTGGCCTAAGGCTCCATAAACAAACGAATAGCAACAACACGACGTGTAGTACTTGAAAGAATAGTTGAGGACCAAAGCATCCACAGGATTTTCCTACCTTATAAATTTGTCCGTGCAAACTGTGAAGTAAAACAAAATTTCAGCTTCACATAAAAACAACAAAAACCCCAAAACAAAATGAAAAACAAAAAAAAAAAAACTAAACCACAAAAAACCAAACAAATAAAAAACCCCCTAAAAACCCAAATGCTGAGCAAACAAGCCCACTCTCTGTCGTTCAGTCAGAACAGACTCACGGCTGACCTTCCATTGGGTTCCTGGGATTGTAAATTGAATGTGAGGAGACCACCCGTCTTTTTTCCTCATATGGGCTGTTGAGTTCATCCGCATAAAGGCATGGCCTTGGTTAGCAGCACAGCTTTTTAAAAATGTTTTTATTTTTATTTTATTATTTTTTGGTGTGTGTATGTGTACCATCAAATCAAATCTGACTGGTACAGGAGGAGATTGTCCCTCCTCCGCCAGAGCATCTGGTGGATTCGAAACGTGTACCTCTGCCATTGCAGTGCAGCTTCCTGCCACTAGGCCACCAGAGCTCCCCCAGTAGCACAGCTTCTTATAAAACACCACCAGCAGACGTCCCTTAAGGAATACATAGAAAACATCAGCTATCAAATCCTGACTCTGAAGGAAATCGATAAGGATGATGCTCCCAGCGACAGTACCTCACAGCAGCCCCCCGCCCCAGTCTACGCTGAGCCTGCATACTGCAAGAAAAGCCCCATTTCCCAAGGTTTGTTGGCCAATCAAAGGTTAGCAGGCTGGTTTCTGCATTGTAACAAGTGCTGGTTCTTGGAGAAGGTCTTCTGGGTGGTCTTGCCTCAAGCCAGTTGTCAGTCTACATCAGGGTCTCCATGGCTTCAAGGGTGACTGTCTTGACTCCTGAATGTGTCTTCAGAGTCCTTGGCTTGGTAACCACATGCTGGACACAGTTACTGTGGGCTTCTTCAGATTAATAATAATGACTGTTCAACACTGATGTTGTTTCCAGAGAGGTGAAAAAGATGTGAGTGTGGAGAGGTCCAGAGCCTCACTCCAGAGCTGGCAGAGAAATGAGCTTCTCCATCCACCTTCTCCCCCAGCCACCCTCTCCCTTCTCCCATGATCCAAGATCGCTTCCAGCAGAGGGCAGTGGCCAGGATATTCCCTCCAAGGGACAAAGGTGTAGGTGTTAAGGGGCAGAACCAGATCCCTTCCATGGCAAACCTCATTGCTTTTGTCCCTAGGTGGCCCAGCAGGGTCGTGTGCACAGGTCGGCCTCAGGTGGCTGTCGCCCTTGGATGGGGTGTAGGTTAGACTGTGGCAACAGGATCTCTGAGGCACCTGTAGACATCAGAACAGGGACAACTGGAACACACTGGTTTCAGCTGGGGTAGACCCCAGCTGGAGGGTTGGAAGCCCTGCTGATGACGCTGTGGTCACTAGCCACTGTGGTCCTCTGGCAGGTTCACAATGCAGCCTGTAGAGGCTCATGGAGACAGGGGAGGTCTCCTGGGGCCCTCATGGACTCCTAAGAAAGGTGGAGTCTGAATACATAGATGCCCCTTGAGAGCATTAGGAAAGCCCCACCTCAGAGTGAGGGCTACCCCTGTGTGCCTGGATGACCGTGCACATTGCCGGGCACTTGGCCTCAATGGTTGGCTGCTGTGGTGGAGAGGAAACCAGAAAAGACAGCGTTTGCTGCTTGCCTTTTGCTATGAGCCAACTCAGTAGAGACAAGGATTGAATTTTTTAAATGTGCTTTATTCTGAGGGTAGAAATCTGAGAGAAAATGCCTTAAGGACTATTTTCTGACACCTCAGAATCAAGCCAGGCATTTTAAAGAGGTGGCCAAAGAGAGTTTTTATGTGCCATCCAGTCAGAACCAACTTAAAGGTGACCCTCCAGTGAGGGTTTTCAGAGGTTGTAAATGACGAGGGAGGATTGCTTATCTCTGTCCCTTGGAGTGGCTGGTGGATTTGAACCACTTGCCTTTGGGTTGGCAGCCCAACTCCTTACCACTATGCCACAAGAGCTCTCCAAAGGGAGTAGGTAAGGAGAAAGGAATGTGGGAAGGGTCCTGGAGGCGTGTCCAGGGGAGCTCTGATAAGATTGTTCCATAATGTCTTTTGCTGTGATGACTGACAGATGCTCTGTGTTTGATGTTCAGGGGAGGTTGGTATCAGGCTTCCTTGCTGATGGTGCATTCTTCGAGTAATTTCTCAGTTTTTTAATGTCAGGGTGACTTGATTGTAAACCCTTAATTCCTGGAATAATAATCTCACAGCTAGCTAATCCACCAGTTGAAGAACTTTAAGAGGCAACTTATCATCATCCTAAACTTAAGCAACAATACACTCTTGTTCTAAACTTAGGTAACTACTTCCTATTAAATAGGTAGTAATAGGTATTGTCCTAAACTTAGATAACCGTTCACTATTATTCTATATGTAAACAGCTCTGGAGCTCCTTCCACCATCGAGGCAGAGGCCTGGATGAGAGTTATTTAGGTGAAAGGATGGTATCTCCTGGGTTTATTATTTCACTGAACTGCATCTTACACTGGTCCTGCTTCCAGCCTGCAAGTTTCCAGGGTTGGAAGCTCAGGGCCACAAGGAATGAGAGATGGGAGATCCTTGAGAGTTGCTTTGGGAAGAAAACAAAGAAGATGCTTACTGGAAGGTTTGAAGACATTGAAAAAAGCCAACTTCCCAAATCCATTAACAAACTGTGAAAGACAAGAGGTTTTGGAGGGTACTTGAGGCCAAGAGCAAACGAAGAACAAATCCTAACCCCAGAGGATTAGGTTTCAAAAGAAACAGCCTTGTCAAGATGGTATCTTTTACAGCTTTTATTTCGAAAAATAATCCTCGGCATTCCTCTCTGTGCGGCGGGGTTCAGGGACTTTGGCTAATTGCTGTTCTGGCTTGGGTCTCCCATCCACATGGAGGTGCAGCATCCTAGGCAGGCTGCCCCGCCTCTAACCATTACAGTCCTTGTCCAGGCCTGTACCTCCGGGTCTCCCAGTGGAGACTGGGCTCTGAGGGACCAGGGCAGCCAGGGCCACAGTCTGTAGGCCCCTTCCTGAGGCCTTCCCCAGTGGACAGCTGGGTTGGGAGCTCTGCTCTTTCCTGCTCCGCTGGGAAGCTCAGGGCTGGAAGCGCGGGGAGCTGACGTGGGGCTGGTGGAAGGTGTACACCACCTCGGGAGACGAGGACACGCTGGTGGTCAGCATGGAGCACAGGGGCTCGTGGCTATTCAGTACCGACGTGAAGTACTTCATCTCCTCTGTAAGCTTCTTGATCTCCTTGCGCAGAGCTGCGTTCTGTTTCTCCAGATCTTCGCTCTCCTGTGCGGGAGGGAGACGTGGGTGTTAGTGTCAGTGGAGGCAGGAGTTGGGCGCCGTGAGGGACTAAGCACAGGGGACGCTGGGTTAAGTGATCTCTAGCACAGCTGTGGAAAAGGGCATGCATGGACTTTCTGCACCTGTGAGCACATGTGTATACATACATATATATGCATGAGCGTGTGTATGCATCTGTATAAACATAGGAGTGTTGTTGTTACGTACAATCGAGTCACCTGTGACTCATAGCAACCCTATGCAACCTACAACAGCTCTGAACCCTGCTGTATCTTGAATCAACCTCATAGTCTCTGACACACCTGACCCATCACCCCAGCCACTGAGTCAATCCATCTCATCCACGGTCTTCCTCTCTTGCACTGTCCCTCCACCCTTCCAAGCATGATGTCCCTCTCCAAGGACTGGTCCCTTCTTGCAACATGACCAGACGATGTCAGACGAAGCCTCAGAGTCCTTGCCTCCAAGGAGCAGCCTGGATTCGCCCTCTCTAAGACAAATCTGTTTGTTGTCCAGCCTTCTGATGCATAGCAAGTAATTGTGAAGACCATGGCACCTTAGTCTCTAGACTGACATCATAGGAGTGTGTGTGTCACTAAAATCCTCACTGCCGTCCAGTCAGTTGGAACTTTCCATGACCCTCTATCAGTTTCTGAGAGGGTTAATCACAAGGGAGAGAAGACTGCCCATCTTTCTCCTTCCAAGGGGCTGGTAGTTTCCCAGTGCCAATGAACCTTCAGAGTTAGCAGCAAGTACATGACTCACCAGGACTAAGGAGCCGCCAGAGTCCCCTCAGTGTGCACGTGGGCTCACAGCATTCATCAGGTCGAAGGAGTTCCCGAGCGCGGCAAACCGTTATGAGCTCAACAACTAGCGGAAGGCTTGGAATTCCATCCCACCCAGGGGCATCTCGGAAGCCAGGCCTGATGGTCTAAACACTTCATGGAGGGCAGTTCTGCTCTGTGCACACAGGGTCGACATGAGTCCAAACACCACGATGGCAACTATTAGGTGGGGGAGCTCTGACGGTGGGGTCCATATGGAGCTGTGCTGCTAAGCCCAACGTGATACCTCCCTGGTGATTAGAATCCATCAGAACCCTGCGGGAGGAGGCTGGACAATCTCCTCCTGTGCCAGTCACAGCCTAGGAAAACCTGCTGGAGGGTCAGCTGTGAGTAGGGTCCAATTCCAGGCCATGGTCTTCACAATTACTTGCTATGTATGCATCAGAAAGCTGGACAACAAAACAGATTCAACTTAGAGAGGATGAAACCAGGCTGCTCCTTGGAGGAAAGGATTCTGAGGCTTCATCTGACATACTTTGGGTATGTTGCAAGGAGGGACCAGTCCTTGGAGAGGGACATCATGCTTGGAAGGGTGGAGCGACAGTGCAAGAGAAGAAGACCGTGGATGAGATGGATTGACTTAGAACACGACTGCTATTTGGGCTATTTTGGCATATAAAAATGGCGCTTTTCAGGTGGGTCAGCTCGATTGGCAGGCATGCATGAAATTGTACATGTGTGATTTGTGTCTATGTGTGCTCCTTTGTGTATGGGTATCTGTAAGTGTCAATTGGAGTGAGCGGCAAGTGTGTGTGTGTGTGTGTGTGTGTGTGTGTGTGTGTGTGTGTATGCTGTTGTTGTTGTTAAATGCTGTTGAGTCGACCATGACTCATAGCGACCCTCTGAGCAAAAGACCCTGTTCTGTAACGTCATTTCTCTATGTTCATAGAGTTTCCAGAGGCATGTGGTTTAGGAAATGGATGCCACTCCTGCTTGAGATACACACACACACACACACACACACACACACACAAATGGAAAACTTTGCGTAATTTTACACTTTCCCACTCCATGTGTGTTGCTGTTGCTTTTATCATTGAGCCTGAACCGACTTATAGTTGACCCTCCAGGAAGTTTTCAGAGGCAGTAAATCACAGAAAGATGGCCTGTGTTTCTCTCATGACTCTCTGTATTTACCAGGGGCTTTTCCTAGGCTTCCAGCTAACATCTGCAGTTAGTTTTACAAAGTTTACAGTTCATTGCCTGCCTTGCTCTAGTTCTGGAAAGCTCAGGTCTTTATAAATATTAAATGGTCAGAACACACTAGAGTGTGATTCTGCTCCACTTGGCTCACCCACGGGTGGGCTCTATAGTCTTCTGGATAGGACTCAAGTACACGTGCATCCATTTTTTTGAAACGCATTCCTCTGCTGTTTGTGGGAACCATCACACACACGCTAATTGGGAAAATGCATAAGGAAGAGGCACTAATTGCTAAACACATTATCTATCAATCAACAATTAGATCTGTAACGAGCATTTACGGAAAGCCAACCCCACCTTCAGAAAGCCCAGGGGAAGAAGAGCATTTCAGTGTGACTTTAAGGGCCATGTTTCTTGACATAAGGGTTGGTGTGTTATGTGTCCTTCTGCTAACTGAATGGTCAGCATTTCAAATCCACCAAATGCCATGAAGAAGAAAGATATACAGTCTCTTCTCATCAAGATTTACAACCTCAGAAACCCAGAGAAGGGTCACTATCACATCAGAATCCACAATGTGGGTCTTTGTTTGGGTTTTGATCAAATGCAAGATTGCATATTTTAAATGTGCCTCAAATACTCCATCAGAAAAACAAATCAAACTGCAGGCTGGTGGGCTTGCTCCTTGGGCTTTTTCTGGGACACAGCCACTAGCCCTAACCTCTGCACCTAGAATTCCTTAAAATTTCTTCTGTTATTTTTCTGTTGTTATTGTTGAGAATATGCACAGCAAAATCTACACCAATTCAATAGTCTCTGAATATTACTTAGTTTCTATTCAATATCACAATTCAGTGGCATTGATTGCATCCTTCAAGTTGTACAAACATTCTCACCTGTTCTGGGTTGTGTGGCCTGATGGTAAGGAGTTGTGTTGCCAAGCCAAAGGCAGGGAGTTTGAATCCACCAGTTGCTCCATGGGTGAAAGATGGGCAATCTCTTCCCGTGAGGTTGATAGCCTCTAAAAACCCACTATAAACTCTACGGTCAGTTATGGGTTGGTTTTAACTCAAAGGCGACAAAAATAACACAGTGCCTCTTAAGGGTACCTGTAATCTTTCTAGTTGCTGTTGACCGTTTGATCCAATATAATGAGTTCTTAAAAAAGCATAATGCATAAGGCTAACGTTTGCAATATTTACTAGTTAAGCTAAACTCCTGATTGATCTTCAGGGGATATTTTTGGTTTCAGGTTTAAAGATCCCAATGTGATTTTTTTTTTTTTAAAAATTGTTTTTATTTTATACTGGTTTATTTACAAAGTTTGAATACATTGTTTTTCACACCAGATTTTTACTCATTTCCTTCACCACCACCACCCATCAAATTCTGAGACCCTATGATTAACTCTCCCCTCAATCTTCACCACTCTGCTTCCACCCTCCGCCCCTCTTGGATCCACATACTCATTCTACAATGGTGGTTTTATACAATATTTGTCTTTATGGAATTGAGTTAGTTCACGCAGCCTAATGGTCTGTGGTCCCTCCCAAGTTAGGTAGTAATTTACTAGAATAATTTAGTAAAATCATTGCTCCTGCATGCTGCATAATATTCCATTATATGAATGTACCACAATTTCTCAATCCATTCCTTTGTGGTTAGACATGTGGGCTGTTTCCATGTTCTTGTGATGGTGAATAACGCTGCTATGAGCATTGATGTACAAGTCTCTGTGCCTCAGTTCTCATTTTCTCAGGGTATACTCCAAGCAGTGGAATAGCTGAATCATATGGAATTGCTATGTTCATCTTTTTGAAGAAGCGCCAAACTGCATTCCAAAATGGTTGCACCATTTTACAATCCTAACAGTGTATAAGAGTTCCTATCTTATCACATCCTCTCCAACATCTATTACTTGCTATCCTGTTAAACTTTGTCACTGTTACTGGGCTGAGATGGTATCTCAATGTGATTTTGATTTTCATCTCTCTTATTGCCAGTGATTTTGAGCATTTCTTCATGTCTGTTGGCCATTTTAATATCTTCCTTTGTGAAAATTCCATCCATGTCTTTTGTCTATTTTGTAATTGGGTTATCAGTCTTTTTCTTGTGGAGGCCCAGGACTATTCTGTAAACTTTTGTTATGAGATGCTTGTCTGAGATGGTATTACAAATGTTTGTTCCCAATTGGTAGGTTTTCTTTTTCCCCTGTTGGAAAAAAATTTTTGATGTGCACAGGGATTTAATCTTTAGAAGGTCCCATTCATCAATTTTATCCTCTTCAGATTGTTAATTTCTGGCTATTGGCACAGGACAGAGCAGAGTTTAGGGCTGTTGTACATAGGGTCGCTATGAGTCACAAGCGACTCAACGGCACATAACAACAACAACAACATATTTGGCAGTCTCTTTATATTGCAACCTAGGCCTTCTAAGCTTGATCTCAGTTTCTTTTTTGAACTTCATGGGTTTGGGCTTTACTTCCAGGTCTCTGATCCACCTTGAGGTGATTTTTGTTTATGGTGTGAGATGTGGATCCTATTTCAGCTTTCTGTAAGTAGCAGTCCTGTTTTGCCAGCACCAATTGTTGAAGAGGTTGTCATTTCCCCATTTGATAGGTTTTATTTCCTTGTCAACTATCAGTTGACCATAGAGAGCTAGGTCTGTTTCTGGGTTCTCAATTCTATTCCTTTGGTCTATGTGCCTGTCATTGGACTAGTACTATGCTGTTTTGGTTACTACTGCTGTGTAATAGGTTTTGAAGTCAGGGAGTGATATGCCTCCCACTTCATTTTTGTTTTTCAGAAGTGTTTTGCTTTTGGGGGATCACTTGCCTCTCCAAATACATTTGACAATTTCCCTTTTGATCTCCTTGAAAAATGAATTTGGTATCTGTATTGGGATTATGTTGAACATGTAGGATGCTTTTGATAGGATTGTCATTTTCACATTATTAAGTTTTCCTATCTGTGAACAGGGCACATTTCCTCATTA